AAACAAACAGTGGAGAGAAGAAACAGTGCTCTCCGCATGGAAAAGGACTGCACATAAAATGTCTCGATGGTAAATTCAAGATGAGTAAGTCATACAATATGGCTGTTAAAAACATTCATCTTATGTTTCATTAACAAAAGTATACTACTCAAAACTAGAGAAGGGATAGTTCAGTTATACTCTGAAGTAGCTAGACCAGAATCAACAATAGCCTATTTTTAGTTCCATTTAATAAGCATAGCAACAATCCAGGGTTCATTCAGCATCCATGGCCCAGATGGTCAAAGAGCCAGACTAGCCCCATCTGACAGTGCTTCCCACCACAATGATAGTGACTCTATCTCCAATGCAGTAGTCACTACCCACATGTAGCTACTGAGCTCTTGATATGTAACTAGTGTAGCTGGGGAACTGAATTTTTAGTTTTGTTTAATTCTAATTCATTTAAATTTATGTATCTGCTTGTAACTTGGGGCTACCAAGTCAGGCTGCATAGCTCTAGACAACGCCATATGCCAAATGGTGGAAGTAACTCAAAGGATAGCAAACCCAAAAAAAAAAAGGGATTTGGGGACAAAATGACAACAGAACTTAGTATCTGAAGTTCTGTCTTGTGGAAAAGGAATTAGAAATATTGTTTGCAACCCATCGGGCAGAATTAGGACTTAGAGAAATTACAGCAAGATAATATCCATGGCGCTGAAGAAGTAACTGCTTAACAGTGACAACAATGTCATTTCTATGAGAGTAGGACCTGTCGTCACCATACTCACCACCTAGCACCTGGCACAGTGCCTGGCACAGAGAAGGCCCTCAGTAAATATGTCTACTGAATGAGTGAATGGTTTAATGAACCCATGAAATAGGAAACTGTCCAAATGAACATAAATAACTCAAAAGACTGTGAATTCCCCCTCTCCCCAATCTGGAGGAGCCCCAAGGAGCTGGCTGACAACTTGCTAGGGATACTGTGGAAGATCCAGGTTCCACCAAAAGGTAGCTGGACTAAATGGCCTTTAAGTGCTCTCCAGACCTGCCAAGAACCTTTTGCCTCTACTATCAGATGGGACTGGGTTCAAATCCTGACATGGAATTCACATGACTGTGTTTCTTATCTAATGCATAATAGATTATATGCACTTAGTGACTTCAAGTAATACACATTTGTTATCTCACAGTGTCTTTGGGTCGGAAGTCTGGGCATGGCTTATCTAGGTGCTTTGTTCAGGATCTCAAGAAGCTGCACTCAAGGCACCGGGAAGGCCTGAGTTCTCACCTGGAGGCTTGGGGGAGGAAGACTTCCATACTCACATGGTTGTCAGCAATATTCAGTCCTTCATCCTTGCGGCTGTAGGACTGAGAGCTTCAGGGATTTTTGCTGGCTCTAAGCCAGAGGTTAAACTGTTCCTAAAGGTCACTTGCAGTCCTTTACCACATGGACATCCCCAAAACACACATTCCCTTCTTCAAGTCATCACTGAATCTCTAGAGCAAGTCAGCTAGCAAGGTAGAGTTTTATATAACATAATCATAGAAGTGACATGCTATCACCTTTGCTGTATTCTGTTGGTTAGAAGCAAGTCAGGTTCCACCCATCTCAAGGGGAGGTGATTATACAAATGTGAAGACACTAAGATGTGGGGATCATAGGGGCCCACCCTGGTATCTGTCTGTGATAGTAACCTTAGCAAGTCACTTAACACACTCCAGCTTCTCATCTATAAAAATGAGGCCACTAATAGTACAGTGGAATCATGATAGGCACTCTTAATATGCAAACTCACTTTAGGATGTAACCAGAGTCAGGTCTGTCTCCACAATAGCATTGAAACCTCACAACAACAAATATCGTAAGATAGATTTAGGTTAAAGAGGCTTAAGACTAAAAGAGAGGCAAGCCAACCCTTTAAGCCAGAGATATACTTAAGAATTCTCAAGCCATCATCCACTCTATAGAACTTTGATAGTTAGAAGCAGAATTCATTCAACATTCATTTATTCAACAAATTTGAATGCCCAGACTTCTGCACGTAGACATTCCCTTTGTTCCTTCCTGTGGAGTAGCTCAGCAATTCTCAAACTTTAGGACTAAGAATTCTTCTACAGGGTTGTACACAAAAATATTTTATGGGATTTTGCAGGGAATTATTCTGACTATATACAATTTTTCTTTTGCATAGTTCAGGACCAGATCTCATGTGCAATCAGATTCCATTGTACCAAGCTCATAGGTTTGTTCTAATAAAACATCAATAAAAGATTAATACAATGCTTGGTACTTAATTAAGTACCTGATAAATATCAACTCCTACCTCCTGTTAAACTACTAAGCAGGTAAAAAAGATATGATAGATTTTGCCTGAAATATTAGTTCATTTTAATTTTGCATTCTCCAAAAAAGTGTCAAACTTTGGATTTTTCTCTTCTGCTGAATTCACATTTCAATAACTGTAGCCCCAAAACACGCTAAGGGTACTGTTCACATTCAAACAGCTCGCTGCTGAAACCAAAGACACTGCTGACGTTTGGGAGGAGAGCAATTATGCCAAGCCAATCGATAAAATGAACTGTAAAGATTAATCCTCCATAATCCATTTTTTTCCTATAAAAGGCTGCATTTGGAGACTTAACAGCTTTCCCCTATGTTTCTATCATCTTCTCATAAGACAAAGACAAAATATCAACCACAGAAAGGTGTTGTCCAATTAGAATCAAATGTTCTTTTCCAAGAGATTTACATTCCCTGTGTATTTTGATGGAAGGGACACTAACGAAGACTTATGTGTTAAGCACTCTGCTCAACAAGATCCCATGCTAGCTCATTTATGCCTCACACACCCCAGGTGATGGGTATGATCAACTCAGACAGAGAAACAGAAGCTGTGAGAGAGGTTAAATGATTTGCTCAAAGGCACACAAATCCCCCAAACTAATCATTTGTTCAACAAATATTTGAGTCTTCTATGGGCTGGACACCACCAGCCACTGCATGGCTTATACCTAAATCAGAGAACGAATCAAGAAGAGAGACACAAAAATACAAGTTCACCTGTAACCTTGAGTTAGCAGGGAGGGGATAAGGAGGGAAGACTGCTTAATTTGCGTCCATATGTCAGAAAAGGTGAAACAAAAATAAAATGCCACAAACCTTCCTAGGAAGGGTGTGCGTATGTTTGGGTGTGCGTCAGCCAGTGGGGCTGCCTGGGCTCAAAGCTCTTATTAGTGGTAATATGTTTCCGACCCACACAGAGGGCTCCAGTGCCTAGATCATCAGCCCAAGCACTGGGAAATCATTTCAATTCTCCACACCTCACCTCCAAAGCACCACTTCCCTCATAAGCCCCCTTGGATCAATGCTTCATCCTCTGCATTCCAGTAAATCACTGATCCTTCTCCTTCGTTCTTTGGGTCTGAGCTCACAGAATATTTCCCATACTTTCGTTCTGTTTTTCACCTGACATCACTCCCCACTCATTGGGAGAGTCATTCTGTTATTTTCCCCATTGTCTGTATCCCATCTTCCAGGACATGAAAGAGGAACCCACTCCTAGAGGGAAGTATGAGCCAGTTTTGCTTTCCTACACCTGCTGGGGCCCCTTTAATCACGAAACCACAGGGAAGACCTGAAAACCAAAATCCCCCTTCCACTTTTACCAGTCTCATCTAATCTGGGTCTTTGTATTTGTTTGCAGAATAGTACATCAAAAGAAAGATTGGGGGGAAGGGGGAAATAGCCATGATTAAAAGACTGCTGCAGCTCAAGGACAGAACCAAAATGTTAGATGCCTGACTTCACTACTGGCCGCTAATTAAATGCAAAACAGGAGCATTAATTTGAAATGGGACGAGCAACACTGTATTGGGTTTTTATTTTTTGCTGCAAAATGAGCCCCCCCTCCCCCCTCGCTTGGCTCCCTCCCCAATCCTGCCGTGTTTTCGAAGTGTTGGGGACCAGATGAGCAAGCGAGCGGCATGCCGTTAATCAAGTCTTACTCATCTGTGTGTGCCGCTGCATTCAAAGAGAATTAATAACGGGCTTAGCTGAGAACCGGGAGGACCAAGGTGCTGCTGGCTCCTGTTCAAGTGCTCCCAGATTCGTGGCTGTTCTTTTAAGCCTCAAGAGATCAAACTCAGTTTTACTTCTGTGATACCTTGAAAATTGCAAAGCCCCAAGAATACCCTGTCTGGGACTCCAGGAAACCACTGGAGAGCAACAAAGTCGAAAGAAAAAAAACGGAGTTTTCTAGTATTTTCCTCTAGGTGGATGTTAATAAAAAGTAAGGTATAGATTTTACTCTAAGGTTCAAGGTGTTTACCCAGGTTCCTGAATAGAGGGTGGCTGCTGGAATAGAGGTTACCGAAGGTGATAAGGGGGAGGAATCCTGCCCCAAAATATTTCCCTAGCTGGGTTATACTATTAGAGATCAATTCTTTGGGGTTATTTAGGAAATGCCTGTCCTAGAGGAATAACATGCAAAGACTTTAAGCTGCTAATTCATTTAAACTGCTCTAATTACTTATATGAATAACCACCAAAATAAATAATGAATGCAATGGCCGCTTCTACCTAATGAAACCTTCCTGTGTCAAAACACTGTGCTGTGTGCTGTACATGTGTCTTCCATCTAATCCTCACTTGTTATTTTCTTCCTTTTACAGAGGATACCTGAAAGAGCTAACATTATTTGCCCAGGGTTGCACAGATAGTTAGGACTCAAGCCAAGATTTAAATCCAGGAGAATGACTCCAGAGCCAGTTTTCTAAAGGCCACCCAGTTCCATCTCCTTGTATACCCGGTGGCTGGGCGGAGTTGCAAAATAAAGCTGGTCATCAGGGAACAGAAAGGAGGGCATGGAGGAGGTGGCACCGCCAGCTAGGGCAGCAAAGTGCCCAAGAAGAAGGGGAAAGATGTGATGGAAGGGGCAGGGAAAGGCTGCCAAAGACAAAATGTGTTTTATTTAGCAGAATGGTTAAAAGCAGAGCCTTTGAAGCCGGACCACCTGGGTTCCAATTGCAGTTCAAGTCGTGAGCTGCTGGTATTCAATTTACAGTGCTGTTTGTTCCTTGCTTGCCCTCTCTCCAGCATGCAGTCCTACAGAATGAGAACCATTTGGAGAAATTATTTGTTACTAATCTGATCAACGTCTGAAAGACAGTCTCAATTAGAGACAGAGAGAGAAAGAAATTCCAGCTCTAGAACTCACTAGGTGTGACCCTGGCAAAAATGCCTTATCATTCTATGCCTCAGTTTCCTCACCTATAAAATGAGGACAAGAATCCTACCCATCCCAACTGAGTGTGTTAATATAGCTAAAGGATTTTAAATAGTGCTTGGCATAAAATAAGTGCTATATATGTGGTAGCTGTGTTTTCTTTTAATTATCAGTTCTGGCAAGAAGTAGTCCCGACTCCAACAGTCTGAAAAAAACAAGGATGTGCAACAAAAACGAGTGCTTACATCTGCCAAAAACATGTATGGGAATGTTCACAGCAGCTTTATTCATAGCAGCCAAAACCTAGGGGAAAAAAATAGATGTTCAACACCAGAATAAAGTAGCCTATTCTTACAATGAAATACTATGCAACAATGAAGAAGAACTACTATTACAGGTAACAGCAGACATAGCATTGGGCAAAATCTTAGGGAATGATAAAAACTGTATATTTCCATTTATAAGAAGCTGTCAAAGAGAAAAAACTAAGTTCTACTGGTAGTGGTGTGTATGACTAGGAGGGTTACAAAGGACCCATCTGGGTGCTGGAAATTCTGCATCCTATCCGAGTTGTGGTTTCATGGGTGCGTACTTATGTGAACATTCACTAAGCTCTAGTAATTAAGATTTGGACACTTTATTGTAAATTGCGCCTCAGTTTTTTTAATTAGCAAAAGGTATTAAATCAGTATATGTGATGTGACCTTATGTGTAAAGTTAGTAACTAAGAGTTTTAAAGTTTATTTAAATTGTGATGCATTAGTGATGCATTTCATCAATTAAGCCAGAACATCAAATTCATTATTAAAATTAGACCAAATATGTCTATTTCAATAAGCATATTTAATAAACAATGCAGTAAAAAAGCCATGGAAGTGGTGTGCAAATGAGGGAAGTCTGGACTTCACTAGACTATGGAGAAGGGGGCACACAGTCCTTTATTCCAGCAGGGATCAACAAACTTTGTCCATGGGCCAAATCCAGCCCACGGCATGGTTTTGTACACCCTGTAAACTGAGAATCGTTCTGACCTTCCCAAATGGTTGGGAAAAAAAGAATAGTATTTATTGATACATGAAAGTTAAATAAAATTCAAATTTCAGTACTCATAAAATGTTATTAGAACATGGTCATGCAACATTCATTTACATACCGTCCCAGGCTTTTTCCCACTTCGGCAGAGTTGAGTAGCTATAACAGAACTCATGTGGCCACAAAATATAAATATTTAGTACAGAGCCATTTATAGAAAAAGTTTGTCAACCCGTGCTGCTCAAGTAGATACGTTTCATCATTGTCACTGATGCAGTGCCATAAAGTCACGTCCCTGTTCTAATTCTTTCTTACTAAGAGGCTATTCTCAAATACCCACCATGAAACTCCTTGGCTCCAAATTCTGAAGCCCAGTGAGTGTCCAAGCTCTGAGTTCTTAGGACAAGCTCTGGCCCAGTGGCAACTAGAACACTATTACAAGATCTTTGCCAAAAAAGACAATAAATTACAAACTATCACAAGCAAACATTATGAGTTAGTCTCTTGTATCACATTGAAAAAGTGTCCTTTTTTTCTGGAATTTTTACTGTGCCCTCAAATTAGTTCTTGCTTTAAAACCAACCAACTGTAGAGTCCTCTTCTTTGCTTTCAAGTCATTATTACTACATCTTTAAAGTAGAAACATTTAGGGCCCTTGTTAAAAATGTACGGATAGAAAATATTTGGGGTGCTAATTAGGTGATAAGAAAGTTTAATTCTCAAAATGGTGATGGAAGATGAATTTTCCCACCTCTGAACTTTCAATAGGCTTTTTTCCTCCACATGAGAATATCCTTCCTCCTGTCTCCATTGTAGCTAAATCTCCCTTACTAAACTGATAGTTCACTGGATACGAAATCCATATTAGAATTAATAACCATACCCAGCCCACCACTTTGTGCAAAACGGGCACTTAAGATACATACGAAGTGAAGAAAAATTTATAAGAAAAATTTCTATCTCCATTCAATAAATATTGAATTGACCAAGATATGCTGAATTTATCTGCTCATCTCCTTAGACTTTAAGTGACTATTTTTCTATCTGCAAAAGCAATAACTATTTTTGATAGACAAGTTCAAAACCTACCAGTGTGAATGTGTACTTTTGAAAATAGGGTAAATACCTTGCAATTGTGAGAAATTCTTTCTTGTGGAATGCCGTTTAAGAAAAGTTGTGAGGTTCCCACTGACTCCATCTAATGTTAATCATTTATGAAATACTGTGGTTCAGAGCTCAGCAATTGAAGTCATTTCAGGCAGTAAATATACATTTCCTGTCAAAACATATCAAATGGATAAGACTTTAACTTATTTGAGAATAAGTTGTAACTCACTTCAATATTGGCAATGTGGAGGAATCTCTGGCGGCTTTTAATAGCCTTGACAGTTTTCTTGTTCTTGCCCCCAAACCACTGAGTATCTTCATTTGATCCTTCCCCGAAACGACCCTCAGTATCTATCCTTGTAGTATCTATCCCTCTAATTCCAAATCTGTTGTGTGGTTTCCTTTTCCCTTACTCAGATTTTACAGAACTCAAGTTAGGCCTACATATAACTCGAAGTATTCTGGATATACAGATTATTACCTCATTAAAACTAAGGTCCCAACTTCATTTATCATGGCATTCTGCCTATATCATTTCACCCCACATGTAACAATGCCCTAGAAAATAAAAGCTTTGATACAAAATTTTGTTCTTTTTGCAAAAATTAAGCCCAGTGGTAGAACGGTCAAGGCAGGTACTTTGGCACCCCAGAATCACCAGGACCTCAAGCAGCTTCTGTCTTTCTGTTCCATCTTTTTCCATTCTGCCTCTTATCCTCAAGGTCATTTCACAGCCCAAAATAGCTGTTGGAGAACAAACTACTACATCACACTCCAGGACTTAGAAAGAAGGAAGATCCAGAAAGGGCTGTACCCCTGGATTTTAGAAGACTCACCAGAAATAACCATCCAAAACTTTTACATATATCTCCTATGGCTATCCTGGTGCAAGAGAGTCTGCAAAACATAGTCCTGATTCTGTACAGCTTGTGTCTTACTAGATATCAGGTTTCCATCACTAAGGAAGGGGAAAGAATAGATGTGATGTGCACAGCCAGCATCTCTTCCACCCTGTATTGCATATATCCATTTTGTATAGATGGACCACCAACAATCAAATAATTGAAAGAAATGTAGAAATGACTCCAGCACAGGCCCTTTCATCACCTAAGGGAACCTTCCAGAAGATTCCACTTCAACGTCTTGGAGGGCAACTTTCACTACTAGTGAGGAAACACTGATGTACTTCTTCTCAAATTGGACATGGGGGTGTATTTCATACTTCCTCATCAGGTTAATGTAATGACAGATTTCAGATATAAACAGCACCTCAACTGCACTTACTATGAGACTGTAGTGGTTCTATGGTTTGAGTTTTTAGGGCTTTTTAAAATCTCACAGGTGTTCCTACTTCATCCAAACCCAAGAGCAGAATCAAGAGACCTCCGCCCCCTGTGTGTCAGTGTGGAACAGACTGAAAGTTCCCAGGAACAATGGTATTTACCTAGGACTGAGTGGGAAGGTAGAAACCTAAGCTCTGAATTCAACACTTCTGAGATTTCCCTGACACCCGGTTTATGGAAGATCAGGACAAGTTGGTGGACAGCAACGTGGCTTCTGGCAGATCTTCAGGAATAATGATAATGTGCATTTATACAATGAGCTGTAGTTTTCAAAGCATTTTCGCATAGTCATCAATTGGAAACTCCCACCAGTACTTTAAGCAGGCCAGATCGTTGTAGCTTTGAGTAGGTTAGGGATTTATTACTCAAGGTTTTCTCTTATGAGACAACATTTGAGACTTAAATGATGAGAGGAAGCCAGACACAAACACACACACACACACACACGCACGCACGCACAAAAGACACACATTTCACATTCCAGGGAAAGGAAATCAGGTACAGAGCCACTGAACAAGTAAGGAACACATTCGCTGCATGGTAAGAAATGAGAGATGGTCAGTGTGATTACCTCAGAGGAAGGGGGAGAGGTCGCAAATGACAATGGAGAAAAAATCAGCGCACTGGCACCGGTCATCTTCTGATCCTACTTCTAATATAACTTTTGCTTGTCCTACCACCAGATAGATTTTCAACATGGGAATCTTATCCATTGACTGCCTCTGTCATCCTCACTCGATCTACTTCTAAAAATGTCTTTCAAGAAAAGAAAAAGAAGCTATTGTTTTCATTGCAAGCTATGTCCAATTTTAAAATATATACAAAATTTCTAAATTCTAAAACTTCATTTCATTTTTTTTTTTCCTCCAGACAGGGTCTTGTTCTGTCACCCAAGCGGGAATGCACTGGTGCAATCATGGGTCACTGCAGCCTTAACCTCCTTGGTTCAAGCAATTCTCCCATCTCAGTCACCTAAGTAGCTGGCACTACATGCATGCATCTAACCATGCCTGCTTAATTTTTGTATTTTTTTGTACAGACAGGCTTTCACCATGTTGCCCAGATTGGTCTCGAACTCCTGGGCTCAAGAAATCTGCCCACTTTGGCCTCCCAAAGTGCTGGGATCACAGGCGTGAGCCACCATGCCCAGCCTCTTCCATTTGCTTTAAAACCAGGTTTTCTACAAACTTTCTGTAACCAGCACTTTCAAATTGCAATTCACTTTGTGTGTTTTTAAAAATACCATGTACACAGACATATGCAGCATCCTGTTTCCTGTATACCAAGAGTAAACCTTCAAAATATCCCTCTGAGGAACGAAATTCCAAACCCCTGCCATAGGATTCACACTCAGTAGGCCTTCAATTTTGTCAGCTTCCCTGCAACTTCCCAGGTCCACTGCTTCAACCAGTTAGTTAGGAAAAACAATTTTTAAAAAACATCTTGGCATCCATCAACCAGCATTTTCAAGGGCAAGAAAACAGCAACGCCCAAGGAGCTGTCTGAGGTGCTTAAGGTTAATGGCTATATTTACATAGCCATCAATTCACTTTACAAAGAACTGCCCCAGTAGGACTGTGCAACTCCATCAGGCGGCCCCTGTCAGGACAGAGCAGACAGGAGTCTCTAAACGAGGAAAATGCCTGATAAATCTTAATGACATCGTTTTGTTTTCATTCACTTACTTATCATCTTATTTTCAGCTCAAGAGTCTTGAGCCCCTGAATGAACAAAATAGACTACACTTCCATTTCTCCATGAGTCACTCTCTAAAACTTTTTGAGACTGTAGTAAATTACAATGGCTTTACCATTTATGATGATGCATACCTTGCACCAGCGCTGTCCAGTCGGGTAGCCACTACACATACATGGTTATTTAAGTTTAAAGCTAAATTAATTACAATTAAAGAAAATTTAAAATTTGCTTCTGGAGTCACATTAACCACATTTCGAGTACTCAAAAGTAACATGTAGCTTAGTGGCTCTCACAGTGAACAGCAAGAAGTTTGGAATATTTCCATCATCACAGGGAAGTTCTATTGAAACACACAGGAATTTGTAAGATTCTACTTACAGATTTTACTGATAATGTCTAGGGCCTGGCCTGTTCTGGAGTTAACATATCTTAATTTCAAGGGAACATAATGATAAGAGACTTTCTGCAGTCCCCACATTTTCCAGACGCATTCCCAAGCCACTGGTACACTGGTGTTTTTAATGCTCTAAAACACACCCTCTGACCAGGCAATTACACTTCTACCCTAGAAAAATGTAAACACATGGGTACCAAGAGACTGTAATTATGAGAAGGCTTTAAACAGTAAACACTGCATCTCAGTTAACACCATATATGACTTTGTTCAAGAATGATATCATCATATTCTCTATAGCAGAAAAAAATGGGAAAAATCTGAATGCCCGTCTGTAGGGAAACAGCTAAATAAAATGCAGTACATTCATAGTGGAACACTATATGGCAGTTAAAGGAATGAGTGAGAGCTATGCATGTATAAATGTGGATAATCTCCAAGACACCAGTAAGCAAAAAAATACAAACTATAGAATCAGATGTATAAAATGACACTACTTAAGTGAAAAAATTCACACACAAGACTGTATATTTAGTAACCATACATACTAATATAAATAGCAAAGTTTAATATATTTTGATATTTTCACATTATACTTTTTAAATAAAGTTAAATGCCAAATATGCTTTCTATTTCTGTTGATTAGTTGGCATTGATACAAACCAACTTCAGATGATAAGAGAGAATCTACCAGGTCTTCATCAGTTCATTCTTCCTCCTCAGGTTTGGATTTCTTTGAAATGTAATGTGTATTAAATATTTTAAATATGTGCAGAAGGCTATTACCCAAACTCTTCAGAGTATCTGAGAAGGGAGAGACAGAAATGGGTTGTAGAGAGAGTTAGAGGTGATTTTTACTTTTTCTCTTTTTTTTTTTTTTTTTTTTTTTTTTTTTTTTTTTTTTTTTACAACTTGTGTATTCCCTGCAGGGGTTCTACAGAGTCCCTATGACCGTGTATTATGACCAGTGGCATCACTATCCCCTACAATGCAGCCTGAGTAGCTGTAATAACACTAACCAGCCATTCCCAGCCAGCAGACAGTACCACCCACATATGCCATGTTCTACAGTAAATCAAAGACCATGGTTTTCTAAAAGTAGATATTGTTCTTAAAAAAAAAAATGAGGACAATTTTGTTGTTTGGATGCTTCTGCTGTTTAGTCTTCCATAGAAGCCATCTCCAGCAGGGCCTTCGTCTGCCACTCAACTTGGAAACCTCATCTTCTAACTGTCCGGGGTTGAGCGCTGGGGAAACAAAGGCCAAAAGGGTCAGCAGCCACGGAGGAGAACTGTAGCATCTTGACAGTTGGGTAGAGATGACCAACGTGAAAACCGGCCGAGGGGACAACAGTGACTGATGGGTCCCAAGGAAATGTTAGTACAAATCTAGTCACACGCAACACCCTGCTGCCCGCAAGAGGGGATCACAGTTCCACAAACCAGCTATGTAATTAAAACACAGCTCTGGAGACGAAAGAGGTTAAATGACTCTGACCCAGTCCATCCGCTCTGCTTGCTGGTTGCCAATTCTAACCTTCCTGCCAACACCCACACATTTCTATAACTCAGATTATCTCCAAAATATTTCACAAACTTCCAATTTTTTTAAACGAGTGAAGGAGAAAAAAAAGCAAGCTCTTTACATGTGTTTTCTTAGTCAAAGGGACTTCAGTTTGCAAACTTTTAATTTTTTTAGACAGTGCAAGACAAAGTAAAATCCACTGAAAGCTTT